TTTTCTTCGATCTCCTGTTGAGTTCGTAGGTGTTCAGAATGGTTTGATAACTATCTAGCTGAATTCCTGGGACCAGACGAAATTTAGGTCTCCTATTCCTCCACCATCTTGCTCCTCCTCTCTGAATAAATGATTCTTAATTTATATTTGAAGTCTAGTGACTTTCACTAGAATTGTATTCTAGTGCTGACTGTTCTGAACTATTTGCCCATGGACATGGTTATTTTTGTTTTTGTTTTGTTTTGTTTTCTTCTTTCCCCCAAGATAGATTCAAGTGTTCTTGATGTGTCTTTAAATATTTGCACAATTTTATTGTTATTTTATTTCTCAGGGATTCTTTTTATATGTATGTTGGATTTATTTTGTCTGTGCTACACTCTATAATTTCTCTCTAATTCTTTTTCATTCATTATGAATATATATTTATTCAGTTTGTGTCTATCACTTCAATCCTTGCTACTTTCTTATTCTTTCAGTACTCTCTCTTCCCCTATATTACTTCCAATTTCTCCTTCACTTTTATTGTGCTTTTATTTTTTTCCATTATGCCATTTGGGTGAATACTGGAAGCTTACAATTCATGTCTTGTTCTTGTACCGCTAACCTTGCCTTGACCCCTTGCAGTTTTGTATTATATAGTTGCTTCAAAAAGGTGGTTACTATTCATTACATTTGAAAAGTTCATGGTGAAATATTTGGCCACAATTTTCCGCTTCTTTAATGGTAATGTTTTTAGTGTGTGTTTCCCTGTATGCCATTGGTCTTCTGCTCGAGCCCTCCTCTGCCATCTTTTTCTCCTGCTCCTGTAGTATCTTCATATAGACCTAGTGCTGGTCCAGTTTTTCTTTTCTATCACAGAACTGAGTTTTTCTTGGTCTAGTCAAAGGAGATAGGCAATGTGGGTTTTGTTGTTTGTTTTGTTCTAGTCCTCTGACATACAATGAAAGACGTCTCTGTTTCCACAGATAGAGACTGCTTTCTACAAATTGGTCTTTTCTGTATAGTTTCTTATTTAGCCTCACTTTCTCTGCTTTCTGAAACCATCTACAGATGTTTCTACCTGAAACTGCTGTATTATATCTACAACATAAAAAAGCATGGCTCCTGGACTTAAGGAAGGTAGGTTTGTTAGCTCTTTTTTGAAATCTGCCACTTCTGGATTATTTCTTCAAGGTTTCTTTTCTCTTTTTCTTCCTGCACACCCTTTTGCTCAGTCATCACTGATTTTGGAACCATTCCATTGATCTGAAGATCTAGGATTTCAGTGTTTCCTGTTTTCAATACATGGGGCACTTGCATAACTGTTTTTCATTCTCTATGCTTCGGAATGATTTCCAGGAATAAAACGGGAAATATTTACTCTGCACTACAATTTTCAAATTGGCAGTCCCCAAGTTTCTTACAATCTGTGGGTTTTTTAGTCCTCCTCATGTACATTATAGGTTTTTGGGGTTTTTTGGTTGAAAAGGGAAAATGTTACAGTTGGAAATTATAGCAAAAATTCCATTGATGTACATAAAGTGCATGTGATTTTATGCTAATTTCCTCCTGAGACATAGGAGCACTAAAAATTGGTGGCAGAATTTTGAGTGATTGTCCATACCCATCATTTCTATTTCCTTGAAGAACTCAAGTTTGTTTTGACCACTTAAATTATGATATCACTGGTAGGTAAAAATATTGAGGAATATCTTTCTGATGTTTTACTTATTTTGTTTTATGATGAGTACCTTGGGGTGATTATGTCAGTGGTGTTCTGCTATATCTTCAAATTATATTTCTATTGATATTTGATAGGAGAAAAGCTTATACTTTTTGGACAACACAGAACTGACTTTGAAGACAGTGTCAACTCTCATTTTCCCACATTCAAGTTTTAGACTCTGATTTCTTAAAGTAACTTAGATGCACCTGCCAAGTGGGAAATATAACAAAGTTGTATGGGAAAATACATTCCAAGATGATAAATTTGTTTGAACAGCAAGCATGCAACTGGAATGTAGATCTATAAACAATCTGCAAACCATGCATAAAAGAACTTTTATGTGTAGGTTGTGTCCCTTGACAAGATTGGTGTTAAATGCTGTCATTTATGCAATAATAAATGTTTTAATAAATAGTTTAAGTGATCTGCTAAAATATTTTGTTTCATACTACTATTGGTGTTGAATACATAAAGTCTGGTTTTCAAATAGCATAAAAGGTATGGAATTCAATTTTTATTGCCCCTTTTCTTACCTCCTCTCTATCCCACAGAGAAATTATACAAAGGAAAAGGAAACTTATTATTCAGAAACATGATAAAGAGAATAATAAAAATGTCAGAAAGTCATGGAAATAATTAAATGTTCTAATATAGTCATGTAAGAAGGAAAAACCAGAGGAGATTTTTGTAAAACTTAATGAAAGAGAAGGATATTTTATAATTAATCAAGGTTCCGGAGAAGTTTTTAATATTAAAAAAAAGATGAAAAAAGATACATTCATGGTTAATCTGAGTATTTTTTTTCCTTTTAAGGAATTAAGAAAGTTAAATTTCCTGTTTTCTAAATTCCCAAATTCAAAGTAATACAAACCCATCTGTGTTTTCCACATTTCTTTGTGTGGTACAGCCACTTTGACCATATTTCTTCCTTTTTTGGTCCTCTATTTCTTTTTTTATTTTTGGATCTTTACCTCATTTTCTCCATCTAGTCTTTCTACATATATAGGTTTCAGTATAGCATTGTTTATATAGAATATAAATGATCTAATCTCAAATTTACATAAAATAAACTAACATTTTTGAGTGTTACCATTGTGTACTTTGTTTATAAATCTTACCCCTAAAAAAATGATGAGTAGTTTCCTGATCATGGCACATTTATTGGTCTCTTTCCTCCCTTGCTCTTTGTTTTATATTGTAACATCTTTTGCCTTTGGACTCTTGCACTGAGGTTTGTTCTAACAGTTGGGTCAGTACTCTCCATCCTTTATTTTATCATATTTTCATGTATGTGAAAATATAATATTCTCGTTTCCTATTCATGTCATTACTGAGGGTGAGATGGAAAAGGAAAAAAGCCTGGGTTCTTTGTTCTGCCACAGTAAAGAATTACAGGACAACGAAACAAAAGTAAAACCAAGCAGTTTTATTAGAGTGCACTTCAAGGGAGGAGCGGGCCAGTCAAGAGAGACAAGGGCCCAGAAACTCTGGGGTGTGGGCTTCTATTAATTTTTTCTTTTGGGTAGGTCTTTGCATCACAACATTTGAGAGACAGCCCTGGATTATATAATTAGCCAGCTATGCATGTCCTTTCCCAGGAGGTATTCAAAATGCCTGCATGGGGTAGGAAGCTGCAACATTATTTCTATTCTAGAGACAGCTCAAATAAGGACTGCTTGTAATAAGCACAACAAACTTAACTCTTCCTCTCTTCCTCTGAGGGGATGCTGATGGCTAGATGGGTGCAGTGGGGTGGTGCCTAGGCAGTCCTCGGTGGGGGCTCTCCATCATGATGTGTAAGGCCCATCCTCCTGTTGCTGGTGCCTACCTTCCTGCCTAATAATTTTATATTCCAATATTTCATATTTATCTTACTTTCTTCATTGTCAAATGGTAGATGTAATGGCGGTGGGAAAGCTGCTAACTCTTTCATGAAGAACTTTAACATTTTAATTTTGTTACAATGTTACCAAACCAAGGATTCTGATTTTTAGCTTCATTAAACCTAAAGAAGAAGCCTAAATTAAGAATAGCAGTGTTAGGGACGCCTGGGTGGCTCAGTTGGTTAAGTGTCCAACTCTTGATTTCTGCTCAAGTCATGATCTCAGGGTCGTGAGATCGAGCCCCAGGTCAGACTCTGTGCTGCTTGAGATTCTCTCCCTCTGCCCCTCCCCCTGCTTGCACTCACTCACTCTCTAAATAAATAAATAAATAAGTAATAAATAAATAAATTTTTTTAAAGAATAGCAATGTTAACAGTGGAGTTACTAGAAAAACAACAACACAACAGAAACAAACTGTGCAGAAGCATTTGTTTTTCTTTCCTCGCATTTGAGCCAGGTATTGCTGCAAGAGCTCTGGTTTGCTGGTCAGTGAGGTCACATGACCTTTCAAATGCAGTCCATCCTTACTGTGTGGGCTTTCAGCTTCCCGGGGGTATGGCTCCAGCATAGAGGGTCGGGCCATCTCTGTCGTTACCGTTAGTGTAGGCACATGCTGTACACCAGGGCAATTATATCACCTCCCATTGAACAAACACAGTCACCCATTCCTGCCTCTGTACCATTGTTATCAGCCTGTCTTCTTTACCTGGAATACCCTTCGCATATTTTCAATTGAAATTCCAGCCATCCTTCAAGGTCAGCTGTGAATAGCTGCTTGATCAATGAGTTCATCTCAGATCCTTTCTGCTTGAAAAATACTTTCCTCATCACTAATTCTATTAAAATGTTACTGTTTACTTAGGACTCTCAATTCTTTGTAATTATTTTTGACAATTTCTTTTCTTCTCCCTATTTCAATTTAAGAATGTAATGCTGGTAAGTTTCTTTTTAAAACATTTCATCATTCTAAATATCAAAAAAACAACAGAAGAGTACAAATTGTGCTTTTTAAGTGCAGGTTTATAAATGTTTATTGGTGCAGTGGGCTTTTCCTTTTGATAATTATGAAAAGGTTTACTGCAGTATTCTTGCCAAGAATACATAACCTGAATCTAATCATGATGAAAATATCAGACAAACCCAAACTAAAAGAGATTCCACAAAAGAATTTGTTGTACTCTTCAAAAATGTTAAGGTCAAGAAGCTAAAAGAAAGGATGAGTTATTGTTCCAGATTAAAGGAATCTAAAGTTATATGAAAGCTACATACAATGAATAATCTTGAATTGGATGCTGGACTAGGAAATATGGGATAATTGATGAAATGTGATTATCAACTATATATTAGTTAGTAGTGTTGTATGATGTTCTGTTCTCAGATTTTGAAATTATATTGTGGTTATGTAAAAGAGTATCCTGTTTTTCAGGAAGTATATATTGAAATATTTAGGGGTAATATGGCAGGATGTCAAATGGCATATATATATATACACACACATACATACAGATATATAGACACACACATATATAGATAGTCATATGCATCTGTTTACACGGACATATGTGTATAGGTATGTCTATGTGTGTATTGGCTAAATATCCTGAGTTATCTACTATGCATATATGTAGTTCTAAGAGATGATATGATAATTGTATGTATGATAATTGGTGTATGATATGTATGATAATTGGCTAAATATCCTGAGTTATCTACTATGATAATTGGCTAAATATCCTGAGTTATCTACTATGCATATGTGTAGTTCTAAGAGATGAACAAAAAGCAAAGTAAGCTCATTCTTGTGCTAGGGGTTGATAGTTGTGTAGCTTTGAGAAATAATGCTTTTCTAAGGACATGGTGCATACATTGTGAAGTTAGACCTAAATACCCTGTGATTGGCATCCACGGAGCCTCTAAATGTTTATTTCATACGTAATGATACTGCTTTCTCCTGGCATTCTTACTGTTGGGAAGGGGGAATCATCTGGCATGAGGCATGAGAAGTCAATCTTTTTTTCTACGTAATATTTAGCCCTTATGTCAAGTACCATATCTTAGGTCTTCTACTCTGGTTTGTTGTATATTGTGTTTTCTTCTTAGAAAAACTGAGTGGTTCGAAAACATTAGATGATGATTAGGAACCTTTAACTTACAGTGAGTTTCTCCTTGAAATTTCCTGTATAAGCTGAATGTTTAAAAGATAAATTTATTTTATTCATTAAGCAAATTTTAAATAAATATAATTTCACACGGAAACCCTACTAGTTGCCTCAGAATAGTAGGGGTAGCAGAGAGGTGACTTAAGTAATAATACTTTTCACCTGATATTATTATGCTGATTAAATTCCTTGTACGTATAAAGAGCTTTAAAGTGTTTCTGCCGAAGAATTAGTGCTCAATAAATATAAGTTGGTTTTATTACTTTTCTTTCTATACATAAAATGAGAGAAAAGAAGGAAGGGAGGGAGAGAGTGGGAGGGGATAGATAGATAATTGGGTTTGTTTTTCTCACTAGCTAGATGTGGTAAATA